GTGGGTGATTTCTGGAGTATCCAAAAACACACCCGTACAGTCCGATGCTGAATTTACAAATCATAATTGTGTCCTATGTACATTCACACAATAGCAATTAAGTAATTAGTATGAGTGACATCTGTCATTCATAGCAATCGGCCTTTCAGACTTCGGCCGTACCCGACCAGGTAGGCCAACTTAGCTGTCCTTTGTCTGAGACTGAATGCAGTGTCCGATCTGTAATGACCAGTTTATCATGTTACGTAATATAATTAAGTTGAAAGATATATGGTATAAGATGGACAAAGTAAATGCATGAGTTAATCTGACAACAATGACACATGTCGACTTTAAAGGAAAAGCTTCATAAAGAGAACTTATCTAAATTGACACACAAGTTCAGGAGAAACAATTTACACATATAGTTCCAGGATAATAATTATATTTATGTCACACGATGGTATAGATTAAATGAAAGTTTGTAGGTTAAAATACGCCAAATAACGAATATAATGATATATTAAATCAAAGTTCAAATTTAGCACTTTTATCATAAAATCCTTTATGATAATTGTGTATTATACGTTTGATTACCTGTCACATATAATGATATATAGACATATATAACACAGGTACAATGTTTTTCCATATCATTGAAAAAATAAGATTTTGTAATTCATGCCTGAAACAAAACATTACGTTTCAGAACAAAATCAATACATGAGCATGGAAAAAGTTTCATGAATACGAGCCCTGGTCTTCTTTACGTTTTGATTATTGAAGTTTTGGATGTTCTACAGAAGAGCAGCAGTGACATATAATGTCATTGTTATGTCGGTCGTAGTTAAGAAAATCCGATATCGTGTAAGTTAATTTACTTTTCTCTCAACAGTATCTTTGGACAACAGAGTCTACCACCTTGTACCCTGACAGATGTACGTAGGACACACACTTGTCATTACGCCTATACAATTCGGAAGTTGGTACAGTATGTAAAAAAAGCCCACTGAACCCTGCAGCTGTTTTGTGCTTCTTACATACCTCAGTGCCAGTACACAGAAGTTAAAGTCCAATACTCAATGACGACTTTATGTAATGTGTGTTTACCTATTACACAAGCAAAAATATAGACAAGTATTATACATGTACAATTTTTTACCGAATCATTGAAAAAGTATTATTTATTTTATTAATTTATGCCTGAAACAAGAAATTAGATTGTACATACATATATATAGGTAATTACTTGTACTCGATCATCTGTATCTACTAAAGTGTAATTAACTATGTTCTTTATTCTAATATATTCTGATTTACAAATGAATAAACACAACGTTTTATTGATGTTCGTAATTTTATTATTTTATAGATACAGGAATAATTAAAAGTAATTTTCGTTTTGTTTTCTGTCCAAACACATGATAAAGCATGTGTTTGTATAAACACAAGTGATTACAATGTGCCACGCTATGTGAAGTAGATCAAGATAACATCACGCACGTTTAGGCTTAGGATATATCTGGGACGCACAGAATGGAAACAATTTCATTTTTTAATTATTAAGGCAAGATTATTTGACATTTTTAATCAAGAGGGATATATTTTAATTACAGGAATGTCTAAAGGTATGCTTTACAGAGAATTAAACAGTACAATTTTACTACAATCGTATCTAACAAAATAAGTTAATATAGGTTATATGAAAGAAATTGCTCGACTAAGGCTGTCAGCTCACAAATTAAACATTGAATCTGGACGTTATGTTGGCACTGTTAGAACTAATAGATTATGTACAAAGTGTAATCTTAATGGCATAGAAGACGAGTTTCATTTTGTTTTAGTTTAAACAAGATATACAGATTTAAGACGGAACTTGAACACACGCACCACAGTGTAACACAGACAATTAAATACACTGTAGGTTTTTGAAAATAGTGATATATAGATATTCGGATATTCCATCTAAAATTTAAAAATGTTAAAAAATAGCGAAATAATATTTTATTTTTATTTTTTGATCGCTCTGCCACTGCATGACCTCACACGGAAGGAGGTAAAATTTGTATGGGAAGACCGTCAGTGTGAGGCATTCGAGGCCCTGAAGAAGGCAATTACCACTGCTCCGATATTGTCATACCCGTTGGAGAATTGCAAATTTGTCATAGATACGGATGCTTCTAACAGGAGTATAGGCGCCGTTCTTTCGCAAGTCCAAGATGGGGAGGAGAAAGTTGTTGCATATGCAAGTAGAAGACTGACCCCTGCACAGGAGAAATATTGTGTGACAGGACGCGAACTTCATGCAGTTGTTGCTTTCTGCCAGCATTTCAAACATTATCTTCTTGGCCGGAGGTTCTTACTACGCACAGAGCATAGCAGTTTGTCATGGCTTTTCCGATTCAAGTCACCACAGGGACAGCTGGCGAGATGGCTAGAGGAGGTCAGTCAATACTCTTTTGACATCGAACACCGTGCTGGGAAGCTGCATGTGAACGCTGATGCCATGTCACGGATTCCGGATCACGATTCGTGCCCTTGCTACTTCGCGGGTGCCACCGTTGAAACTCTACCCTGTGGAGGATGTATGTACTGTGCAAAACTACAGACTGCGTGGGAAAGATTCGAGGAGGATGTTGACGATATTGTGCCTATAGCTGTTCGTTCGGCGGAGGTAACTGCTGTCGAAAAACACTCTGAGACCGGAGAGGACTCTAATACGAAGGACGATATTCCTCAATGTAACTGGCTACAGACCAAAAGTCCGATGGAACTTCACGAAGAACAGATGCAAGATGAGGATCTAAAACAACTGTATTCATGTGTGGCCAACAGCGAGACAGTTCCTCTGGGTGAGGCGCAAGCAAGAAGTCCTGCTCTGCGGAAGTATCTACTAACCCTTCAGCAGTTCAAACTGATACACGATGTTCTCTACTACCAGTGGGAGGCAAATGGACAGGAGTCACTGCGACTCCTGGTTCCATTCCAGATGAGAAAAGAGATCATGCAGGCATGTCATGAAGCTGTTTACTCCGGTCATCAAGGGGAGAAGAGAACTCTGGAACGAGTGAAGAAAGACTTTCACTGGCACAACATGTCGATGGATGTGAGCATATTTGTTCGGAAATGTCATGTATGTGCCGCTGAAAAGAAGAGTAGTAGAACTATGAGAGCACCTCTTCAGACCTACATCTGCGGAGCGCCAATGGACAGGATACAATTGGATGTCGTGGGGCCTTTTCCTATTAGTGATGCTGGGAACAAATACATACTTGTCATCATCGACCAGTTCACGAAGTGGGTCGAGGCTTACCCAATCACACAACAGGACAGTAACACGACAGCAAAAAAACTGGTCCTGGAGTTCATCTCTAGATTTGGCGTACCCCTGGAGATCCACACGGATCAAGGACGAAACTTCCAAAGCGCCCTGTTCAAGGAAGTATGCCGGTTACTCGGAATCGCACAAACCAGGACTACGCCCTATCACCCTTCATCTAATGGTCAGGTTGAGCGGTTTAACCGCACGCTGTTGCAGATGATCAGGTGTTATCTAGATCATGGCCAGGCGCATTGGGATGAGAACATTCCCCTTCTTCTGTCTGCTTATCGAAGTACGCCACACCCTGCGACAGGATTTACACCAAACCTGTTGATGCTGGGTAGGGAGGTCCATTCTCCTCCCGAGCTGATCTACATGGATCCGGATATTTCGCGTTCCTCTGATGACGCACCCACCTACCTCGACCGGATGTTAGAGGGTATGCACATTACAGAGGAATTAGCTAGGAAAACATTGAGGGCTTCAAAGGTACATCAGAAAAAAGTATATGATCTACGGGCTAGGGGAAGAGAGTACCACGTCGGGGATCTTGTATACGTGAAGAACCAATCACGATCTGTTGGACAATCTCCGAAACTCCAATCTGTTTGGAATGGTCCTTTTGTGATCACCAAGAAATTTGGTCCGGTCGTGTATGAGGTCCGTGGCCGCAAGAAGGCTTCAGTTCTTCACCATGACCGGCTAAAACAATATTTGTCTGAGGTCATCCCGGCCTGGGTTACCAAGATAAAGCATGATCTTGGTACCTCCTCTCTCCCAACGATTGCTGAGGAAGACCATCTTCCAACCATGGATAAGAAGTTCGGGACAGAGGAAAACCACCACGAGTCGCAGAACAGCCAACAATCGCTGAAAGCCAGTTTACCAGAGGAAGAGCCAAAGACACCTGTGCCAACTGGGATGTGTTCACAGCGAACCATCTCAGATGAACCATCCCGGTCCTCGCGTTACGGCCGGGCATATAAGCAGCCTACCAAGCTTGACCTTTAGCAGGAGCTAAAGGAGCCTGGAAGGGGGTGGTGTAATGCGGATTTACCTCTTCCGGAAATCGGGGTCCGGTCCCCGGATTTGATGTTAGACGCGGAAGCACGTTATCCGGTGTTCGTTGAGTTTTACCGCCATTAAAAGGTTTCACTGAAAACTCGGACGATCTTTGTGTTGTTATTGAAGAACACAGCCAGCCATCCGGCATAACAATACTTTTCTAACTCTACAGTCGCATCACGTGTACGGTACCGTCGTTACACCCGATCCACACGTTCCCACACGTGTCCACACCCACCGCTGTAGGGTTGATCACTCCGTGTTTCTGATCCAGGAGACACGTGGCCTGTGAACCATCTCTCGGTAAGACATACACCTGATTGTTAATGTTGTCTGGTACAAACAGTCTGTCGTACTTGTCACGTGACATTTTACGGAGGTTTCTACTACCAACCTTTTGACCGTTGTTGAGTTCACCAGATCATTTATATTTGGTTGTACCAGAACTGTCTGTTATGACTGATACATTAGCAGAGCCCGACACTGCAATGTCTCCTGACGACAAACATGTGATAAACCGCCAAACCATTCCACACGTCACCTTCCTCACAATTGTATCTGACTGATTCAGTACCACTATGTCTGGTGTGTATGTACTGACAAACACCTCGCCCCTCTCGTTGATGCTGATGTCTTATGCTCTATGTGGTTTGATGTCAGCAAATGTTGTCACTTGTATGTCTGTTGTCCCGACCATGGTGAGTATGTACGGACAGAAGTCCAGTTTTACTTTCTCTATGACCACACCCTCCTTGTTGACTAGTACCAGATCCTGGTATTGATTTATTGATAAACATGCGTATCTGTCGTCGACTGGACATATACAGAACATTTTATTTTGCTGAGTAACAGTAAACTTAGAGAGATGTTGAACGTGTTTACTGTCGATGTCTGTCTTCTCGTACTGGTTCCCGTGGTGTAATTCACCTAACATTTTCGTCAACAGGACGCGGTCGATACTTCCGGTAACAAAGCTTGGTAGTTTCGGTAAAACATCCTTCACATTAACATCATACAATGGTAGAGTTGTTTTCAATGACCTTTCCATTTCAAATGTACTCGTTGTATCCGTCATTTTCGCTTTTTCAAGCAGACTCGTCAACGCTCGGACTTTTTTCTCCGATTCTTGACAATCTTTTTGGTGCATTACTGCTTCTTCCTTTTCCAGGGACGATAACTCGACCAGGACTGCATCCGCGATAGAATCTATTTCTGACTTTATCATTGCCCGCTGTGTGTTAACGTCTTTTCTCATTGTATCAATGTTACCTTTGAATGTTTTGTTACCATGCTCCGACGTCTCGTTCTTGAAGTGTGCAATTCTGGCAGATATTGCTGCCATATGTTCTAGCAAATGTTGCTTTTTGATTTGAAATTCATCTACAAAATGTTTCCAGTTGTGTTGTTTGTGTGTCTGGGAAAAACACATCAAACACATCAGTATGTCAAAATCACAACAGTACACGTCACACAGTTTACCGGGGTGTAGTTTACATACCTCCGGCACAGGCTTGTCGCCCTGACGGTTAGCCTTCCCTATCACTACCACCTCGTCGTTTTTAGTTTTCTTTCCGCGCGAATGGAATTTCTTACACTTATCACACAAATTCTCATGACAATCGTTGCAATACCATCGTACCCCGTCTTCACTGTTACACAAATCACACGTGTAGGTAACGGGTTCCTGGGCACGCCCTACGGATCTGTTACTTGCCATATTGTCGGCTGTTTTTGTTTGAATGTGAAAATCTTGATTCACAGACAGGGAAACGCCACCTAACTAAACTTCCTTGTTACAGTATGCCACGTGACCGGAAGTCAGCTGATAAGTGTGAAGAAATAGGTCAACATTTCATGAACTTCACCGATCTATTAAAAGATCAAAAGCAATCGTCCTCTTAAATACAAATTTTTAATAAAAATAATCGTGTTTGTCTGTATATTGTTGTGAGTTCACAGGTACTAGCCTAGTCTGTGAATACACCTATAATATAAGTATGGGTGTATTAACAGATGAGTCTAGTACATGTGCTATGTCCCGTAATATTGTCGAAACTTAGTACCAGTTATCTCCCTTTGAACGATCAACACTAGACCTTCCGTAATAGGTAGGGTTTTGCCACCGTTTAGCCAACTACTTCCCCTCTCAACCTAAATCTTTCCCCCATTTTATCAATAAGCAATACTCTTTTGAAGCAAAATGTGAAAATTAATTAAAAATGTGATATTACTTTATCGTTTTACCTCTGCGATCTTCTTTTACTCATTTATTATGGAATTCATTGCTTTTTTATGCATATATATTATAACTGATAACGATACTTATATATTGTTATAGATTTGTTATTATTACTTGTTGTACCTTTTTACCAAATAAAATTGAATTGAATTAAATACTTCCAGTAAAAAAATCGTCTGTAATTAATATGGGATACTGAAATTCGTTCGCTAATACGCTAACCATAAAATGCAGCTGGTGTTCTATAACTGTCTTCACGTTGTGCTAGGGAAGCAACGATATTAGAGCGCCACTTCAATCCGTCTAGCGATACAGAAACCAAAATACGAATAAATAAACGACAAAACCAATATCACGTGGTGCTTTCTACCTTATCTACTCGTACTTCGTTGGGCTGTGTCACCCCAGTCATCTGTCTCCATGACATCCTAGGTATTGCTAATTCGATCCGGGAAAAATCACATAATATTCGAAGCGAATCATAATGAGGCCACGTGATGTATTTTAAGCATAATGAGGTATATGAATTGCTATACATGGTCCAATGTCACGTGACAACGGCAGACAAGAGCTTCAGTACACAAGGACAAAATCAAAGTCGATACGAAAGTCATTAACAGTAACCGAGGAAACATCAAAACAATAGGAACTGTGGAGACATCAAAACATTAGGAACCGAGGAGACACCAATACAACAGGAACCGAGGAGACATCAAAACAACAGGGAACGAGGACATAACAAAACAACAGGAACCGAGGAGACACTAAAAACAGGAACCGAGGAGACATCAAAACCAACAGGGAACGAGGACATAACAAAACAACAGGAACCGAGGAGACACCAAAACAACAGGAACCGAGGAGACATCAAAACAACCGAAACCAAGGAGACATCAAAGCGACAGGAACGAAGGAGACACCAAAACAACAGGAACTGAGGAGAATTCAAAACAACAGGAACCAAGGAGACACCAAAACCAACAGAAACTGAGGAGATATCAAAACAACCGGAACCGAAGAGACATCAAAACAACCGGAACTGAGGAGACATCAAAACAACCGGAACCGAGGTGACACCAAAACAACAGGAACCGAGGAGACATCAAAACAACAGGAACCGAGGAGACATCAAAACAACAGGAACCGAGGAGACATCAAAACAACCGGAACCGAGGAGACGCCAATACAACAGGAACCGAGGAGACAGCAAAACAACCGGAACCGAGGAGACATCAAAACAACAGGAACCGAGGTGACACCAAAACAACAGGAACCGAGGAGATATCAAAACAACCGGAACCAAGGAGACATCAAAACAACCGGAACCGAGGAGACATCAAAACAACCGGAACCGAAGAGACATCAAAACATCCGGAACCGAGGAGACGCCAATACAACAGGAACCGAGGAGACATCAAAACAACCGAAACCAAGGAGACACCAAAACAACAGGAACTGAGGAGAAATCAAAACAACAGGAACCAAGGAGACACCAAAACCAACAGAAACTGAGGAGATATCAAAACAACAGGAACCAGAAAACTGTAAGAATTTTCCGTCATACTAGAAGAGGAATCAGGGACAAATCATGGCGTGACTTCCGTATTAAATTCTGACTTTAGTTCCCAAATGGTTTCCGGTTTATGTTTGTCACCTGACAGAACTTGATAAACATAGAAAACACCATGGTGTTTCGGTGTAAAAAACGAATATAAGGATTGAAACACATCTTACAAAATAAATTGCATCACATTTCTGTTTCAAAATAGTTTTCAAGATGCGTTGACGCAAAGAAATTTCGTTAAGGATCCATCAAAATTTAGCTGTTGACATAGTACGACAGATCCAAGTAAAAAAAAATTAGAATATAACAAAACAATCAAACAAACAACACAACTAATGATATGTCATCATTTCTGATATAACAGGGATGATCATGTCAACGACATTCTGAAATGTCGTCCGTAAGATAGTTTCAAATTCTGAATTATATAATCAATAGTAACCATTAGTCTGGTTAACATTATTGTTTCACTGACAGAATATCCAAATCAATCAGCAAGAACTATAACGGGAATAACAAAGATAGAAGTTATAGAAAGTCTTTACAGATGTTGGATAAGATCCCGTGGTTAGTTTTATAACTTAATATAGACTTCATTCTCTGACATAAAATTGAGCTTGCTAAAGATATAACATCTTTACAGAGATGTAAGATAGCTACTGTAGTTAGTTGTAGAACTAATCATAAGATTATACACGGACATAGGATGGTGCATAGTAACAAGAGGCCCAAGGGCCTTAGCGGTCACCTGAGTTATATCATAGATACTGGTAGCTTTATTTTATGTTTAGATGTGATGTGGAAATCAGCATGTAAACTAAGTGAAATACAATACTTGTCATGTCATCAATGGATAAGAATTTGAAAATATTGGTAAATGTTCCCTTTGGGGCCCCGCTCTAGCCCCTGGGGATGGGGCAGGAATCCTAATTTTACAAAGTAAAACTCTCATTTACCCAAGATGATTCTGACTAAGTTTGAGCAATTTTCTGCTGAAAATATATAAAATATATACCGAAAAGTGTTATTTCCCTATATAAACTATATTAAACGTTAACCCCTCCCCAAGGGAGAACGGATAGCTCGGGGTCCTGATATTTTCAATTTAAATAAAGCCCCTGATGATCTTTCTTTCCACGTAAAGAAAATCACTGTAGTACCTCTGAGTCTGGAGAAGAAGATTTTTGAAATATTGATTAATTTTCCCTTTGGGGCCCCGCCCTGGCCCCAGGGGTCGGGGTAGGAATCTCAATTTTACAATTTGAAACCATCTACCTCCAAGGATAATTCTCACCAAGTAAAAATAATTTCCTACAGAAAGTTGTCAAAATATACCCAAAAGTGTTATTTCCCTATATAAACTATAGTAAACTTTACCCCCTCCCCAAGGGAGAACGGATAGCTCGGGGGTCCTGAAATTTACAATTTAAGTAAAGCCCCTGATGATCTTTCTTTCCACGTAGAGAAAATCACTGTAGTACCTCTGAGTCTGGAGAAGAAGATTTTTGAAATATTGATTAATTTTCCCTTTGGGGCCCCGCCCTGGCCCCAGGGGTCGGGGTAGGAATCTCAATTTTACAATTTGAAACCATCTACCTCCAAGGATAATTCTCACCAAGTAAAAATAATTTCCTACAGAAAGTTGTCAAAATATACCCAAAAGTGTTATTTCCCTATATAAACTATAGTAAACTTTACCCCCTCCCCAAGGGAGAACGGATAGCTCGGGGGTCCTGAAATTTACAATTTAAGTAAAGCCCCTGATGATCTTTCTTTCCACGTAGAGAAAATCACTGTAGTACCTCTGAGTCTGGAGAAGAAGATTTTTGAAATATTGATTAATTTTCCCTTTGGGGCCCCGCCCTGGCCCCAGGGGTCGGGGTAGGAATCTCAATTTTACAATTTGAAACCATCTACCTCCAAGGATAATTCTCACCAAGTAAAAATAATTTCCTACAGAAAGTTGTCAAAATATACCCAAAAGTGTTATTTCCCTATATAAACTATAGTAAACTTTACCCCCTCCCCAAGGGAGAACGGATAGCTCGGGGGTCCTGAAATTTACAATTTAAGTAAAGCCCCTGATGATCTTTCTTTCCACGTAGAGAAAATCACTGTAGTACCTCTGAGTCTGGAGAAGAAGATTTTTGAAATATTGATTAATTTTCCCTTTGGGGCCCCGCCCTGGCCCCAGGGGTCGGGGTAGGAATCTCAATTTTACAATTTGAAACCATCTACCTCCAAGGATAATTCTCACCAAGTAAAAATAATTTCCTACAGAAAGTTGTCAAAATATACCCAAAAGTGTTATTTCCCTATATAAACTATAGTAAACTTTACCCCCTCCCCAAGGGAGAACGGATAGCTCGGGGGTCCTGAAATTTACAATTTAAGTAAAGCCCCTGATGATCTTTCTTTCCACGTAGAGAAAATCACTGTAGTACCTCTGAGTCTGGAGAAGAAGATTTTTGAAATATTGATTAATTTTCCCTTTGGGGCCCCGCCCTGGCCCCAGGGGTCGGGGTAGGAATCTCAATTTTACAATTTGAAACCATCTACCTCCAAGGATAATTCTCACCAAGTAAAAATAATTTCCTACAGAAAGTTGTCAAAATATACCCAAAAGTGTTATTTCCCTATATAAACTATAGTAAACTTTACCCCCTCCCCAAGGGAGAACGGATAGCTCGGGGGTCCTGAAATTTACAATTTAAGTAAAGCCCCTGATGATCTTTCTTTCCACGTAGAGAAAATCACTGTAGTACCTCTGAGTCTGGAGAAGAAGATTTTTGAAATATTGATTAATTTTCCCTTTGGGGCCCCGCCCTGGCCCCAGGGGTCGGGGTAGGAATCTCAATTTTACAATTTGAAACCATCTACCTCCAAGGATAATTCTCACCAAGTAAAAATAATT